CGCACTAGTTTTTGTTTCAGGTTGGGACCTCCTTTCCATGCAACTTTCAGGTTGAGGTGACTAGCCCTAATGATACCCTCAATCCTGTGGCTGAGTGCATCATCAATGAATGGAAGCGCAAGATAGACGGGGGCAGAGCCCGATCTAGTCGGCCTTAGGCGGTTATCACGTTGGGCTTCGTGTTGGAGCCTGCTAACTAAGTGGGGCGGGTAGCCGTTCTTTGTGAATAGGTCATGGATGAGTTTAAGGCTACGGGCTCAAAATCTCTTCCCCTGGTCTACCACGAGCCCGTAGCCTTAAACTCATCCATGACCTATTCACAAAGAACGGCTACCCGCCCCACTTAGTTAGCAGGCTCCAACACGAAGCCCAACGTGATAACCGCCTAAGGCCGACTAGATCGGGCTCTGCCCCCGTCTATCTTGCGCTTCCATTCATTGATGATGCACTCAGCCACAGGATTGAGGGTATCATTAGGGCTAGTCACCTCAACCTGAAAGTTGCATGGAAAGGAGGTCCCAACCTGAAACAAAAACTAGTGCGGGCGGCCTACCAACCAGCACCCTGCCCAGGTGGGGGCAGGAAGTGTCCATGCTGTGAGGCAGGGTTGCGTGGGAGATGTCATGAAAAGAATGTGGTGTACCAGATGGAATGTCAACTGTGCGCACAAGGCGAGTCTGTGTATGTCGGTGAAACACGCCGATCTGTCAGGCTTAGATATAATGAACACATGAGAGATGCAAAAAACAACAAACTAGACACCCCTTTTGGCCTTCACCAAACGAAACACTCTGTGCAACTGGACTGCTCAAACGTCTCAATCAAGATTCTGCATGTGTCAAAAGACGGCCCAGATAGAAAAATTTGGGAATCCATTTTTATTCGCGAACTTCAACCCACTCTTAACACGCAAACCTCGTCTTGGCCTATCATCTGAGTGGTCATTATATCTAAACTGACTGACCGTGGAAACTTGTGTGCGCGGGTGTGCGCCGTGCGGTTGTGCTGTTGTACACTTCTGTTATCGTATGCATGCATGTACTTACCTCATATATGCTTATCTCCATATTTTTAATGTTGGTCGGGGGGTCGGGACCCATTATTGATGATGTACCCACGATCACTCATGTAACACTCATGTTTTCGACATGACTATCTTGTTCTGCACTTCAAGATAAATCTTTTATGTCTCTGTAAGTTTTGCATAGATGCGTTTTTAAAGAGTAGCTGGGAAGTGCGTGTGTGATGTCTGCATGTTCGTACCAATTCGAATTTTCTGTTCCATGCAAGTTTGTGATGAAAATGATCTAAATAATACATAACGGTTGATAAAGGCGCAAAGCCGAAAGCTCCCGAAACTGTATTTTGTCTTTTTGAAATTTTATATCTTTTGGCTAATATGAGAGTAAGGTTAATATCTCTTATTATATTCATAATGTCTCTCAAAACTGTGCTAAAAACCATTCAAGGTGTTAGTTTCAGGCCATGATTTTTGTTATAGGCGAGTCAGCTTCACATTCAGCAATGACGCATGTCCTACGACGCATTTGAAGCATTTTGGAGGTTGGCTCAGCCGTCACAGGGGTCGAAAATAGTCAAAATAGCGACTCTAGATGCGATGACAGTTTTTTTTACGAATAGCTTTTGAATTAACCCTCGCACGACCAGGCCATTTCTCATAACACGAACGACCAGGGGGGGGGGGGGTTGTTACGACCCCCCCCCCCTGGCGTTTCGAAACGGAAGGTCGTAGAGCTTAGCGGAAAAAACCAACGGATTGCTCTCAACGAGATCTCGCGATTGGTGGTATATTTTTTGGTCCTAGGTCAACATTTGACCTACTTATGACCGGTCAAAGGTCAAATTTTCCGAAAAAATCAAACTTTTTCAACTTTCCGCGGCGATTGCGGCAAAACGGTGGGAGATATCGACTTGAAACCTTCACTATCGTGTTCCTTGATCAATTCTCTATCGTTTGGTATGTATTTCGTTTCCCTAGCTCTAAAAATGGCGCGTTGGGAGCGCCGGAAGTCGGCAAGGTCACAGTCGGCGGCAGAAATTCGAAAAATCAAAATTTAAATTTTTGAAATCTGATTGTATTTTTGGATTTGGGAGGTCCATTTGCTCCCTATAGAAGCTAATATTGCTGCATATTCCCATTGAGGTGACAAGAATTAGCAAAATAGTGGTTCGGGCGCTTTTCAAAAATAGTACCGGACGCTGTTCCTCTTGTGACGTCATAGCTCCGTGACCTGACCTGACCCGGTCAATTTTCTTGCACCACACGATAGCCAATGCTTGCCCCAACATGCATGGGAAGTTTCATCATGATCCATCAAACAATGTGGGTATCACCGGCAGAAAACCTAGGGATTCGGCGCACACGTTTGGTAACTGTCGGCCGGAGGCTGTACCTCTTATGACGTCATAACTCCGTGACCTGACATGACCCGATCAATTTTTTTCGGCTAAAGATGCGCAAAGGTTGCCCCAGAGGGTATTGAAAATTTCAGCCCGCTACGACAAGCCGTTTAGCGTGCACTTTGAAAAAACCTCAGGGGGGGGGGGGGGTTGATACAACCCCCATACAAGAACCCCTAGGCGTTCTAGGGTTAATCAAGCTAGGCCAAAACTAAAAGTACCATCGTAATTCTCTCGTCATTCCGCATCGAAACATGTATGTGTTGACCTCGAGAGGTGAAGGTCAAAGGTTGGCTTCAGGTCACGTTACCTCAGGTCGCTTGACCTCAAGGTTACGTGAGTTCAAGGTCATCATGTATATCATTCGATGCGCCTTGACGAGCTGAATACAATGAGACCATTTGCGCGGGTGTATCTTTTTTCTGTAAGTATTTATTAGCAAAAAAGCGTTAGGTAACCTTTGATGACGTCACATGCCCTTACAGCTGTCCAATAGGAAATATGGCATCAAGGTAGTCAAAGCTGGTCATGAATTATGTCCTTTATGGTATGACCATGACAACTTGGCCGTCCCAGCATAGTGACTCTGAGCGCACCGGCCAAGTTGCCCCGCTAGTCCCGGCCAAATAGCCCCACATTGCCATTCTGAAAATGTTTGTCTATAAAGTCGTCATGGCTGTACAGAACTACACCTTTTTAGGCTCAAGTTCGAATAAGTCAAGTTCAAATTCGAATAAGTCAAATTTTTATTGGAAGATGCCAAATGCAAAATCGAATGCTTCAAGCTCAAGTTGAGATATGCCAGCTTCAAATTGGAAGAAGTCAAACGCAATTTCGACTTACTCAAGATCAAATTCGAATACGTCAAATTCAAATTAGAATAAGACAAATTCAATTTCATCGCAGCTACCTACCGTAAATAAGTTTAATTTTCATGATGCTATTATCATTATCATCTTCATTATCATTATACTTATCACTATCATTATTATTATTATTATTATTATTATTATTATTATTATTATGATGATGATGATTATTATTATTATTATTATTATCATTATTATTATCATCATTATTATCTACTATACTATTTGTGGTGACGTAGTTTCTGTCTGTTACCGAGGTCGCGACATGGTGCTACGTAGCGCGGGTTACAGGGCACACCGTTGCACCTACCGCGCTGAAATTTGCGCAACTCATAGAACAAGGATGGACAACGTGCCTTTGAGCGGCCTCGGCTCGATCGGATCGATAGCGAGCGCGTAGCGCGTGCCCAAAAAGTGCAAATTCGCGTCATAGACTTAACATGTATAAATCGGCTTGCAAAAACGGGCGAAAATGGCTAAATTTGGCCGACCCGGGTCCCGTCCCCGTGCAATATCTCGGTAACCGTGCGCCCGATCGTCACGGGGAAAACAGCATCGTGTAGAGAAACAAACGGGCTATCGAATGGTGTGCGGTGCAGGGGATGGCACGCACCACGTGCACCTTTGTGGGCACTTTTATTTGAAAAATCGAAGTTTCGGACGGATTTTGGATTTTATTTTTACGTGACCGTCAGACTGAGGGAGTTAAAACAATGTCTATTGGCAAGAGAAATATACCGCTTCTCATGGAAAAATTGTGAAAAGTTAATTGATCAAAAACAAGGTGGAACAAATCGCTGGAGAAAATTACATTTGTCCAAAATGTGCCACTTAATAATTTCAGGGGTTTTGCTGCATAACCCGATGCGTTTGGCAATTTAAAATGCTAACATTAGAAAGAGCATTCAATTCTTTTCAAGATCCGATCATCACGGTTGCATGACAAGCAACAGTACTCTTAAAAATATAAATGTTTCAAGCCTCTGCAAAACCATTTTTAGCGAAAATTATCTACGCCTTTCATTTGTCATAAAACTACGCACCTAAATTATAAAGCACATTTTACATGTTCTGAAGTAGAAAGCATGCTTATCAGACTCGGGCACCTCGATGCGATGGATATTATTGCCAAGCCAAATCATTTAGCCATCAAAAAGCAATCGACCGAAATTGATAGATAACCCAACCGACACAAGAACAACCAAACACCCGCCGATCGAAAATACCCCTTTTCGCGTTGCGGAGCACGCGGGTCACCCTAGTATTATGCTATTATTATTATGATTTGCTAATCGCCATCTACTTTCGATCGACTTTGGCTGTCGACTCCCATCTCGCCCCGTCTCGTTTCGATAAAAGACTGTGCGTCATTAACTACATATCTCCGTTTTTTTATTACGCAGTTCGCAGCTCTGCCAGGGCGACGCGGTCTATGCTCGACACGAAACGGAAATCTGCCATTTAAAAACTTGTGCCCATAGCATGCAAAAATATCCCGCCATCATGAACTCATATTTACACAAAGCTGTCAGCCATGAGCGGCGATATCAGACTGGGCAGTGGCGGGGAGAGCGAGCCGTGCAGCGGCCAACTGGTTCACGTGTAGCGGAACTGTCTGACAGCTCAAGATCGCTGACATCCGTGACTGTGTCCAAGCCGTCAAGGATGGACAAGCCGTCAAGGCGCTCTCACTGTGTCTGTGTGTTTCAGCCGACTGTGGGGGCGTCGGCAGTTCCGACGGGCGCGGCACCACCGACGCGCGCCAGCCACCACCCGTCTGCGGCGCGCGAGCCGACCACCGCCGACGGCCTGGTGCGCGACATGTCTGCGCTGCAGGTGGGCAGCAGCGTCGGCGGCAGCACCGAGGCGCAGGCCAGCTCGGGCGGCAACGGCGCCGCCAGCGTGGGCCGCGGCGCCACGCGCGGCCGGCGCGACGGCGGCCCGCGCGAGGCGCGCCAAATGGAGACCACACGCCCCGAGAAGATAGTCAGCAAGGTGGGTGGCATCGGTGCTCCAATCCAGCTGATGGTCAACTATTTCAACGTCGTGGACAAGACGTCATGGTCCATCAAGCAGTACCGCGTCGACTTCGACCCGCCCGAGGATAACACGCGCTTCCGGAAGAAGCTGTTGCGTGCCCACCAAGCGCGTCTGGGTCAGCACTACATTTTTGACGGCACGATGCTGTTCCTGGAGAGGATGCTGCCAGAACAGGTGAGACACTAGCCAGGCATTTGGAGTAACTGGGCGGGCTGGCGAGCCCTCGGTTGATTGGCATCCGCACTAAGAAGTTAAACCCGCGCCGGGGTGGACCTTTCAGCCAATGTCGCCATTAGCTATGTGCACCAGGCTATTTCGGAAAGTAAAAAAGCTGGAAAGACGCGGTAAACTATAAAGGTCTTTTCGATCAGCTCATCGTTACGGCCACTGGATGTCAGGAAAAGTAAAATTAACGCGATTTTTTGTTCCCGATTTTGAAAAGCACGACAAATCGACAAATAAAAAATTAAATTTGCACCCAATTATTTTATTTTTCGTTTAAAACTGGTGTCAGGGGTTGTGATGGGCGGGGAAGCCATCTGTGGCAAGGATTTTTTTCTTTGAACAACGGTTTCCGAGATGTAGCTCGGGCAATTCCTGGAGGTCACGCTGCAACTTGTTTCGCTTTTTCTTTCTGTCTTTGTGGTCAGCCTTTCATAGGCTGTGGAAAACATGACCTAATGGTGTATAATTGACTGCTAGGGGGGTCCTGAAAGGTAGGTGACGATATATGCAAAACTTGAGGATATCGACGGAAAAAGGAGGTGGGGCACCTCAAAACATGGTGTTTGAACTGAAATATCACTTTTTTGTAGCTTTAACTGAGACTAGCGCAAATCGAGAGCTTTTATGTCCCAATGATCACCGTAGACAAATATATTCCATTTCTCGTTCCGAAAAGAGTGCCCTACGCAGGAAATTTAATACTTTACGGAAGAATGTCGAGAATGCAGCCATCTGTCGCAGAGCCCAGCGTCAGGCAATTTGCATGGTTTTTAACTGGTTTTGAACTCCGCATTATGATCGGTCAACGCGTGATAAGCTTCCGCTCCACTGTAGGCGATCCATGCATTCTAGCGCTTTAGGGGCCCGAAAAAAATGATGGGAAATATGAATAAATACTGGCGTATTTTGTAGCTAAATATCCCAGCATCTGAAATGTGACACTCTTTTTTACACCAAACCATACACTTAGAAACCACAAACGTCCAAACATGAACTTGTGGGAGAAGCTGAGCTACGGTGCCGGGTCGTGATTTGACCCTAGTTACAATGAGGGCTGTAAATCAAGACAAAAGCTAATTATCTTGAAAACCGTAATTTTGTTTGAAGCCACATTCCTTGTAAGCAGTATGCATCACACAAATTTTGCTTTTGAAACTTATCTATATTTTTAACCTTCGCCCCAGTGTGTGTGTGGGGGGGGGGGGGCATATGTTACCACCCTGTCGCGTTTTTTGCGTGTGAATAAAAAACCGCGGCGCTACCGCCGCTTGGGGTAGCTTTTTGTACATAAATTTTTGACAATGTGTGAAATTTTTGACCCAGGTCATTGCTATTTTGGCGCCGGAAACGATATCAAACTAGTTCAAGCTTTACTTTTGCAAGGTCCTATGCTTTACTTTTGCATTGTTGAACTTGCGTGACGTCATTTATGAATTCACTATCGTCTGGTCATTATAGTTTTTGGTCCATAACTCCCCATCAAATCGAGATAGCGATTCAGGCAAGCCACCAATGAACTCAGGAAGACCTGCCGAATCGAATGGTATGCAATTTGACCTCCTTCGACCATTTTCGTGACCTGGGGACTCTGACCCAAAAAAAAAACTTACAATCGGGTAGGTAGAAATGGCTTCCGTTCGGGGAGAGCAGCATGCCCACGTTGCACCGAAGTTCTAACTCATTTATAGGCCAAACGGTGAGCGAAATTCCTACTCGTTCCTTTAGCTCCGTTAGCGTACAACCCTCTGCAAACTGCGTGGTAGGTATTCTTTTTTCGATAAAACTGAAAACGCGGATACTAACCCAAAAGTTTATATTTTCCCCAAAAACAAACTTTTGCATTTTGTTGCCACACAGGGCGTGTACTTTGATTAGTGACAGATCCAGTTGAAGGAGTGGAGCATGGCGCATCTATTTGCAGTGAGTTCCGACCGACTGATAACATAGGGTAGTGTGGGGTAATTTGAACATATTTTTACGTCTTCTCTGTTTTACCAAATTCCAGCTTAACCCTGGATGAAGAAAAACTGCTTCAGTAGCGCAAGTGTCACTTGCTTTCACCATGCGAGCCTCATTTTTGGACGAGCCGAGCATACCTTGAATAGCATAGCCTCACTTCTCTACCAAGTCACGGTGTGTTCAAATTGCCCCACCGTGGGGTAATTTGAATATACTGCCTTTACCTGTAATACAAACGATAGTCTCGCCAGCACCGATGTTGTTTGGCCCATTAACCCGCGAGTTGCTGGGGGGGGGGGGCGTTAAACGCCCCCACTTTTTTCGCCGGGCCATAGCATAAAAACGGCGCGCCGCAGGCGCGCCAAATTTTGGGTACCTGTAGGGAATTGATTGAAGTTTATTGTGACAAAGTTTCCAAAAAATCGGTCGGAAAATTTTTGAGATATCGAGGTTTTAGGGACGTCATGATTTCTGAGTTTTCGACCAAAAACGGCATATGTTCAAAAAATCATATAAAATCACAGAATAGACATACAGACATGCCGTAAACGCCATTACACTGCCAATACCATGATCAATCAAATGGCTATCTTCGATTATTGATTATCGTTCCGCATTTTCCATAATCTTGAACTGAATCTTGGCAATTTTTCGTGACTACTTCACGACCATGATACATGAATTTCTTAAATTGAACTTTTTGAGCCAAACACGTACACATATGATAAAATGAATGTCACCATCGTGTTCTACGCCCCAAATTACCTATAAAACATGTGTCACAGGCTGCGAATATCAGTTTTGATTTTCGGGGATATGTGCCTACCCGGTTGACCTGACCTTGACCCTGACCTATGCTTGACTGACCCCTACATGGAGCTGACACTCTTGTATGCCTTATAAGATGGATTGTGCACCGTTTTGACAGAGTTTATGGCGAGAGGCGCCCATTGCGAAGTCCTGAAGTCCATGCTACTGAAAGCCCGATTTCAGGTGTTTGACCTGACCTTGACCCGACCTGTGACCTCAAAATTCAACTTTAAAGTACTCATCTGAAGCGTCTCGTCGCGCTCTTTCGTTTGCCGCCTCGTGCGTTTCGCTGCGCCTATTGGTTCTCGAGTTATCGGCTGGGGGCGTTTAACGCCCCCCCCCCCAGCAAACGGTGGGTGGCGAAATACCCCAGCAACTGCCGGGTTAACCCGCGAGTTGCTGGGGGGGGGGGGGGCGTTAAACGCCCCCACTTTTTTCGCCGGGCCATAGCATAAAAACGGGGCGGTGCAGGCGCGCCAAATTTCGGGTACCTGTAGGGAATTGATAGAAGTCTATTGTGACAAAATTAAAAAAAAAATCGGTTGGATTTTTTTTGAGATATCGAGGTTTTAGTGACGTCATGATTTTTGAGTTTTCGACCAAAAACGGCATATGTTCAAAAAATCATAAAATCACAGAATAGACATACAGACATGCTGTAAACGGCATTAGACTGCCAATACCATGAACAATCAAATGGCTATCTTCGATTATTGATTATCGTTTCGCATTTGCCAAAATCTTGATCTGAATCTTCATCTTGGCAATTTCTCGTGACTACTTCACGACCATGATACATACTGTAGCCGCCGTCTGCTCCGCTCCGCCAAAAAGGCCAGATGATTACCACGCTGTATTGTAACAGCGCATGTGCATGAGCACGGTTTCTGCCAAAGACACACAAACAAATATAACACATACCACAGTTGAACATAGGCGTGAGGGACAGAAACATAGCTATACGAGGTGCTATCTCACATTATTACACTTAAGTCAAATCTCGTACTTATGCCCACACACTTACGCCAAAACAATAATCATATCCTCACCATCGGAGTGACTCTCGGCAGGATGTAGACGGCAGCCAAAGTGAGCACAGTGCTCGAGCGCCACCAAAACCAGGCGCCAAAGTACGTGGCCGGGCGCGCCACACCAAACAGGCGCTGTCGAGGCGTCGGGCGCCACACCAGGCAGGCGCCACCAGCGCGCCGAACGCCTCACCAACGGCGCCACCAGTACGTCGAGCGCCGCACCAACCGGCGCCACCAACAGAAGCAGGCGCCACGGATGATTCGCACCAAAAACCGGGCGCAACCTGCATGCGACACCCCATTTACAAATGTGGCGTAACAGTGACAAAGAAACGAAACAAATCCGTCTAAATGGTACAGGTAAGAGCCAAACTGTAACAGAGCTGACCACGTAAAAACCAGCAAAACGGTAATTAATGGAAATTATGCGAAACGTTACAATCATGGCATACAATTTTATCCATACAAACCATTTCACTTACAGGGCACGCCGCGCCACACGTCCAACTCAACGCAGAAACCGAAATGAACATCACTAAGCGTACCACGACTACATCACCTCTAATCGCCAATGAATAAAAATGCCAATAGAAACCGAAAGACAGGTATACCAAATCGCCACATATCATAATGAGGGTCACGACACATAATATGCCGAGATATCTTAAGCCAATGACGACAAATCAAAAAACAAACGCCAACCGAGAGTTCAATACTGCCATCACTATACTGCGCTAATACTGACACACATACACATGTACTGCCACTAGCCGGCGGTGCCATCTATTGCCGAGCTACGCAAGCAGGAGGGCCACGGGGGGCGCTACTGTCGACCTAACCGCGCACCGAGCAGCTGAGTCGAGCAGACGTACGAGCAGCGCCTACACTCCCCCCTTCAGCATACGGCTGAAAAAAAAAACTCGAGCGCTGCCACGATAAATACATGGGAACAACAAGACATGACAGAATACATCGATACGCAACACTAAGTTACGCTCGCAACGTCTCGACGCCGCCTGTAGTAGCCTTACAAGCTAACACATATAAACAGTAACACCATCAGAGCTGCACACCTTGGCGGCTGCGAAACACTCACCATTCCAAATCGGCCTCAGCAAGAACTAAAACCATCTTATGGATAGGTCGGAG